AAATTCACGCTTTTGTAGCAAAACTCAGTGACAGATGTTTCTGTTGGTTTCCGGCCGCCATGTTGGTGCCCATACGGATGGGCACCAGCATGGCTTACCCATACAAATCTCTATAAATTTGGGTAAAAAATTTCTCCGCATATCTTGCGAAAGAGAAACTGCTGTGACCAGAATCTTGGCGAGAGTCTTTGCATATTTACCTTCTTTCATTTCCCAGATTCTGGACTTGATCTACTGAACGGTTTTGATTTTTATTTTGATCTATTTTGAATGGCTTGACACTGAAAACCAGCAATACTTTATGGCCAGAGCAAAGGAAATGGCAATGTGTAATTATATAAGTTGCACCGGAGCCTGAATCCAGGTCTGCCCATTTGCACAATGTAACGTTCGAAATTTCGCCGTCACGAGTAATCTATTAGGCAACCCGTAACTGAAATATTTATTTATTACTTTTATGATATTTTGTGGGGTAGTCCGTTGAGGGGGTCCGTAGGGGGAGTCCGTGGACCGGTCCATAGGTAGTCCGCTGAACCGGTCCGTAGTGGGGGTCCGCGGACCGGGGGTCAGTGTTTTCGGGTTACCCGAAATAAACCTCCGTTATCAAATTCCTTCGGCGTTGAGTGGAGTCTTCACAACAAGACAGGCTGTATACTCGTGTGGTAATTGACTAAGTTTTTGCAGTTTTATGTAAGTGAATTAAGTTTTCAACCAATGCGCTTCCGTCTTTGCCCCTTTCGTTTCTGAATACTCTCCAGTCTTCCACGGATGAAAATGACATCTTGTTCCCAGGTTTTTAAGCGATGCTTTTCAACATGGCGGAAGTTAACATACCAACATGTACATACGACTTGTCTTGAAGATTATTTACCATTTCCCGTTTATAAGAAGCATTTCAACGTTAAGAATAAGAAACAAAAATGGAAGGAAAAAGCCAAGATACTGCTGGGGAACCGGAAAAGGGGGATTTTACAAAGCCTCAAGCACCTACAGAAAGGAAAGTTTCGGTAGGTTAAACTTTCTTAAAGCTTCATCGTTCCAAACCAGAAGTTGAGATTGTTCCTCTTTCTTTCGTCCACTGCCAAGACAAACTAGGTTACATGTAGCCGAGGTAGCGAACTCGGCCTGTGTGGAGCGATCTAACTTTTGGTGGGAGCGAACTGACTTGGAGCGATATAACCATGGAGCGAAATGGCCGTAATTCGAATAAAGCTGAACAAAGATAAACTTTTTAGCTTGGCTTTATGGTTGCAAAATCTTCTTTTTATCTTAACGATGTTTGGTAAACATCCTACGTTAAGAAAGGCAGAAATTCTAGTCAATTCTAGTAATAATTAACTGGAAATAAAGTTCAATTATATCAACATTGGCAATTACATGCACAAGTTCAGTCTGTAAGAAGATTACTGATATTTAAGGTAATTCCTCTGAAATAAAAGTTACAATAGATTTTTTGTTCAAACTTTGTCCACTGAATATTTATCGTATGATAACTTCAATTTTGAAATAAAAAAGGGGGGTGCCCATGCTCATTAAAGAGCAGTGAGGCATTGAAAATGCCCCATTTTGGCATTATTTAATGCTTATCATAAGAACGCATTCCCAGTAGCGCTAATGACGCCATAAATTATGCGCAGTAAGGATGCGCAATGCAAATGTGAGGAATGACCTTAAGCTTACATGGTTAAAATGCTGGTAGATTCGATTCACTGCTTGGAATTCGGTCCGCTATTTTTCCCTGTGCTATAAATGCGGTTGATATATATTTCTACTGATTAATTAAATATTATGCAAGATTTCCTGTCACAAGCTTTGTACCTCTGTCTAGGTTTTTGTGCATTATTCTTGATAAAAACAGAATTCATTGTGTTTATTTTTGCCTATGCTATTTCTTTTGCTAAGAAATGGCTTAATTATATTATTCTAGATGTGAAGGAAATCAGCCCTTTTGTTTATAGAATCTAGTGAATAATTATTTGCAAAGTGCCTGAAAACATTTCAGGGTTTTGTGATTTGAACTCATGATCTCAGTGTTAGTATTAAAGGAGCTCAGTCACAGTTTGCACATTTTGAAAAGTTTAGCCTAAATTTTTCAAATTCATCATTTGCAATCCGTGTCAATCTTCGCCATCCTTGACCATCCTTGTTCCTTTATGGTTATTATCTCTTTGATGTTTTTCTATCTTAGTAGACTATTATTTTCAGGTTTCCTTCCATTTAAGGGAAAGGAGATTTTGTACGTGACCAAAAAAAGACAAAACACCGTGACTGAGTTCCTTTAAGTATATATACCAACAATACTTGAAAATTTCCTTGAAATTGCATTTGTTAGCCTAAAGGCAAGTGTGATTTGAAAGAATTTACACACGAGTCGGGAGTGATAGTTGAAAATTTTCTCAAATTTTTCACAAGCCTTCAGGCGAGTATAATTTGACAGAATTTTCAAATAACATGTTGCACAAGTCATTAGGCAAGGGTTATTTGAAAGAATTTTCAAATATCATGTGTTATGTAAATCCCTAATCGGTTGAGCGTTCATACTGTACAATAATATTACTCATTTACATGTATTATATGACTGAGAAAATTATGAATGCAAGATTAAGAATTAGCAATAAATTGGCATGCTCGCAGTGGATCACAACCAAGTATTTTTCTCAGTCATACAATAAAATAATGATTAATTTCCATCCTAATGAGCTATTATTGCTATAAACTATTTAACCCTAATTATTCCAGGATCAACTGTGTGATTCGGTTCTTAGCCAGTTGGGTGTCCAGGCATCCTGTAGATACCCACTTTGTAAAGAAAATTGTTTTATTTTTTAAATGTTTCTTTATAAATTGTTCATTTGAGCAGACCCTATAGGACATTTAAGATGCCCACTTTTCAAATCCTGACTAAAATAACATAATTTTGTTAGTGATGTGAAGTTTATATGAAATAATTCATATATGAACTGTGGTTGTAGATGAAAGTGAAGAATGATCATCGCAGTAAATTTTCCAATTTAAGCAA